CGTAATCTCGCAGACATGAACGACATTATGTACTATCTTTCCACTCTTGCAAACGGTCTGGGGCGGCGTTAAGAGCTTAGCCCAATCACCGCCCCCTTCCCAGCTCCATTTCCGGCGTCTTCAGTGTCCTTCACGGAGTCCCCAGGACGCATAATGGAGCCGAAATCGCGCGGGTGTAGGGAGGGGACTCGCGATGGAACCGAAATGAAGGTCTGCGGTTCAAGTCCCAGGATTGCGGATCGGAATTGCTCTGTGACCAAGGAGAATTCGCAATCGCCATTGCAAGGTCTTTTCTAGATTGTACAAGATACAGACACATGTGAGACGTAATCTCCAAGCAGATTGTATGGTGGATGCAAAGACAGTATCAAATTGGCCAGGCGGTATCTCTATGCCACTCTATGGCTGGCGTAAAAAAAAATCAGAAAAAAAGAAAGTCCGATAAAAACACCTAAAATATACGCAAAAATAAGCCGATACTTGAAGAGAATGTCAGCGAGAGGAGACGGAACCGAAAGGTTTGTGGTTCAAGTCCCAGTATATTCTGTGGCCAGATGCCACTGCTCTGTCCTAGAGTCTCTAGGATACAGACGCAATGTGGAATATGATAAGCTGATGATATGTACAGAAACGCGGCAAGACTTTATGCTGGCCCTGTCAAGTATACACCACCAATTTCAACTTGTGCAACAATTTGAGACCTTTGCTGACGTTTAAGGCAGAGACGACCGTATAGTGTCAGACAAAGATTAGTTGTACAATGGAAAATACGACAAATAAATTTATAAACGCATAAGTTTCTTTATTGCACATCGAAAACAACAACCGCCGAAACAAAACATATATATACCAGGCATAAGCTTGACGTATGAATTGATCACACGAACACATGGTATAATACCCCTGATGACAAAATCCGACCGTAGAATATCTTTTGTTAATTTTCCTTAGTATCGCGTCCTCTGCAAATATATGACAATACGTGCTTTTTTCGTCCTCGTTAATACTCATAAGCTGGCATAGTATATTACCATACAATAACAACACATTCGTCTACATTTCTCCATTAAAACAAAGCAATAACACGATCATAATACTTCAATTACATATTGAAACACCATAATTCATATACAAACCAATACAATAACAAAATATCCTCAATAAGAAATATTTGAAAAGTAGAACAGATCCAAGAGATATTAATTGTTAAAACTTTCACGTCTGTTCTTGTCTAATATATGCTGATCCTTAACTTTCTTCTTTTACCATTTTCAGTGAACTACGATAATCTAATCTCTTAGCAGATCAGTGAAACTGGCCAAAGAAGAAAGGTAAGGGTCAGCTTCCAACTTTCACTTCTGATGCTGATCCTTAACTTTCTTCTTTTACCGGTTTCAGTGATCTACAATAATCTAATCTCCTAGCAGATCACTGAAACTTGTCAAAGAAGAAAGTTAAGGGCCAGAATCCAACTTTTACTTCTGATGCTGATCCTTAACTTTCTTCTTTTACCGGTTTCAGTGATCTACAATAATCTAATCTCCTAGCAGATCACTGAAACTTGTCAAAGAAGAAAGTTAAGGGCCAGAATCCAACTTTCACTTCTGATGCTGATCCTTAACTTTCCTCTTTTACCGGTCTCAGTGATCTACAATAATCTAATCTCCTGGCAGATCACCGCTTTCAAAAAGATTTAGCGTGCGTTTCCGCTCTAGTTGTATCTGTCTTTCAAAACGAATTAATCTCTCTCTTCCTATCAAGCATCCAGTGGAAGAAAACGCACTGTTTGAAACATACAAAAACGTAGCCTGGTTACCAAACCTATTATGCCTCCCGAGTTCTACAGCCCCTCCGCAAATAGAGAGGCTGTAGGAATCGGGAGCTATACTAGGTTTGGTAACCAGGCGACGGTTTTTTTGCCATCCGTCTGTCTGGTGATAATGATCAACCTTGACAGTGACATTCATGACGTCATCAGCCTTGTGGCCAATCAAACTGCGTGTCCAAATATGGGCATCGCCAGCCAGCGCCAATTTTTCAGGCGAATCTGAGATTTGCGGATTTAGGGCTAGGCGAACTGTGTGTCATCTTTAAAACATAAACGGAAAGTTTGTAGCGTTACTGAAATGAGATGAAAGCGATTCACTGCGAGGAATCTTATCTTTAAGTACACCTTAAAGCATACGTAAAGGTGCGCTGATGAAGGTAAGACATCCAGGTAAACAATCTTGAAAGACTCTACTATTGGATAAATTACGGAGAGTAAAATTTGTTCGAGTTTGATATGCGTAAAAATGTATGCTGGTAAAGAAACAACAACTTTACGTAGGTGGAAATGGATCAATAAATGATCTTTCCTTACCATTTATTGATCCCACCCATTTGCTGTTCTCTGTTGTTTTTTTGTCATGTAGTTTGTCACTGTATACTTGTATGTTTGGTGGTGAGGTTAAAATTAGCTGTAGCTAGAGTACCTCACCACCGTGTCGTGTATTGTCCATGTTGAATTGCAAATGAAAAAAACCTAACGTGTAATTTACGTAACAATTGATTTTCCGTGTACTTAACGTGTACTTTACGTAAGAATTGATTTTCCGCGTACTTTACGTGTACTTTACGTAAGAATTGATTTTCCATGTACTTTACGTGTACTTAACGTAAGAATTGATTTTCCGTAGTGCAGACGGCTGTGTAAGATAGCGTATGTCTTCACCACTCACTACTGGTGAATCGTTAAGAAGTTACGTTCAGCGTACGATTCTTTCGTATTTTGTCCAATTACGGACAAGGATCAACAACAACTTTTTAAAACTTCCACCACAGAACAGAGCTTAACGACGGACGCTACCACGAGTGTCTTAAGAATATGTTCAGAATTTCACCGAGGCAATTCAACGTTGTGTTCCACTGTGTTCAACGCATAAGAACATGAAAACAAATGAACGCTTCATAGTCACCCGCATTGTAGCAAATATACGAATGTACGAATTATGTACATGTATATAAAATCTTACATTTTGTACACATTACACTTTACATCATCAGTACTTCTTTATCGAGCGGTCTAAATATTCTTATTGATAAACTTCTTTACATCTTGTTCTTGTAAAGTCGTCAGATAAATACAATTTCTTTGATAAGATTAGCCGTTGGACTCTGTGACAACCACGTACTACATGACTGTTATACATTACTACGTCGTAAAAGATATTAATTTTCTTTTCTCATGATCTGGGCTAGTAACTAGTTAGTGTCTGGTTTAATTGAGGAAACACAGAACAAATCGGCCTTGCAGAAGAACTGTGTGCCAACATTACAATTTTTAACTTACACAATATTCAATATTATCATATACAGCCCTGTTTTCCCTTAGGTTTCAGCACAATATGTACAGATATTTTTACTTTTTTTTTACTCATCATCTTTTTAAAAACCTTCACTTAACAATTTCTGATGACTTAGACCACATTGGTCCCATTGGGGATTGCACTGATCTCTATAGAATCTATATCTCAAAACAGGGCACCGTTTTCGTCCTATTTCTTAGGAGAGTAGTACGATAATAGGACGATAAACACGCGTCACTGTTTCTGAAATCACTCATATTACGTTTTTTTCCGTTACAAACATTTACAATTTGAAGACGCAATAAAATGTTGTCTGTTATATACACATGTACATCTCTTTACAAAAATATCTTTCAAATCCACATCCGTGGCTCATCATTGAAGAAGCAGCAATCCATTTAATCGATAGATAGTATCGTACTTGAACCGTTTATTGCACTCAGCTCATAGCAACACCGAAGACAAGTTTCCAGACGCGTCGACTTTCGTTGGACCGGGACGGGGGCCACTACCAATTACCACTGCCTCGATGCCCCGATCACTCTTCCTGAAAATAGCCGTGTAAGTTGAAGCTCAAGAGGACTGGTCAAAAATTTTCTTCTTTTTTCATCTTCGTTACGTTTATCTGTTCATCTAGATAGAATTTTGTACTTCTTCCATTTTAAATATCGATTTGATTTAAAATGTACGTATCATTGCAACCCCGTTACGTATCTTTGATTGATACGTTTTGAGTGTGTTTAAAGCGCATATCTGTAGCATAGTATGATATCCGTCCCGTCTTTCTTACCATTTGAAGTGCCTGGATCATCCTTTATGTCTCCCATATCAATATATCGTTGCCATGTCCTCAGAAGCCCACATAAGCTCCTAAGCCCGTTAGGAGCGTTCTTGTATACTAGGCTTTGTCAAACTTTTGACCATATTATCAGAATGTCTTTCTATAGTACCACACTACAAAGGAAGCTGGCTCATATGCGCGACGAACCGGCGCCAGTGAGATGACCCTTGTGTAGAGTAATGCTGACTTTCTACAGAAGCTGAAGCGAACGTTAACAGCTTTTCTGTAGAAATCACATATCTGGCACAACCTTAAGGGCACTATTTGTTCATGTGTGCTGTTGGTTATTAAACTTTTCCAGCTTTGATTTTAGAAACTTTTGGAAAGATAGTTCTTTGTTAAAGAGGAGAAGAAAGGTAGCCATTTTATTTGTCTTTTCAAAAGTTTCATGCTATTTAAGGCTTCAGTCTGATGGTGACTTTGAAGTTCCGTTTGAGATATTTTCAGAAGGATAGCTGAGGCGTATTTAGCCACAAGCTATTTGTTTTAACAGTTATTCTATCCATTTATTCAACAGCCAATAAGATTTGAAAATATCGTAGTAAAGTAAGATCCCTTGTTTTCTTGACATGTCTGTGTCCAAAAAATTATCATCTTTAATAGCTTGATAATAACCATTACGATAGCTATGATGTATTAATTTATTTTGTACTTATACACTTTGTGATCAGAAAATGATCTGATATCATTAATTTTTATTTAATTATTGGTTTAGCTTACAACGGCCAGGGTTACCCAACTAGTTTTAGACTATTATCAAGGGTAAAACCTGGGAGAATATCTGATATTATCATGATGATTTTTTTCCGGATGCCAGCAAGTTCCCGGATGGAAGTGGCAGTGCTGACTCACACCATGGAGTTAAAATCAATTGATTGTAGAAATCAATTATATCCACATTGATTTTAACTCCATGCTCACACAGAGTGTGTGTCAAAGCTGTAGACGGTTCCGAACGAGTGTGTGTGGCGCTTGGTGTGCTTCTTCTTCACCTCCAGAACCCCGTCTGACCGCGGGGCGCCGCTGCTGTACTCAACAACGTCATCGTGGAGCGAGAACTTCACCGTTCGGATGGGAGGAGGTGGCGGGGGAGGCGGTTGTCGCTGGTCCCCACGCCGCATGCTCCGCGTGCTGGTCTTGGTGGTGACGGACCGGGTGTAGCAGGCCACGAACGTCACGTGGTTGTTGACGCCGTTGACGTAGCGGACGGTGTGACCGTTGGCACCGGAGTGGTCACTCATGCTGTGCAGGGCGCGGTCAAGGTGCTTGTTGTTTGGGCTGAAACATACACACAGAGAAAAATATTCACTAAAAAGATAACATTTGCAAAGCTCCAACTCGTTACTTAGTGTAACCCAACATCACAGGGTGTCTGCTGCAGTACCAGTTACCATGGTGACAGGTGTCTGGTCCAGGTCATTGACTTTATTTCTATGCAGAAGAACATTTGGCACCTGCACATGCCATAGCATAAGAACAAAAAAGAAAAACATTTAAAAACACGGCAATGAATAAGACAGTGATCAACTGGAACTGGAAAAAATGAATATAATTTCAACATATTTTGTAACTTATCATCCAGAAAGAAGTTATTCATCAATATCATACCCTTCTTTAAAGTTAAAACTTTTGTTCCAACACAGGTGATCATCAACACAGATGAGCTTGCATGTATGCGATAATGTTATACCTTGAGCGGGAGCGAAAAGTTGTTGGGATCATGTACTGCTGTTTCCTCCCACGCAGAGAGCCGAAGCACTGTCCGGTGAAGAGGAAGTAGATCCAGGGGTTGACACAGCTGTTCAGACTGGCCAGCAGCATGATGATAGTAAAAGCTGCACCTGTAGCAGGACATAGGACACAGTATATACATGTATATGTCAATATTGTGATCCAGGGCATGTTGTTTGTAGTAACAAACCAGCTGGTAGACTGTAATACCAGGGCTCGAAATTAAAGGTGTCCCAATGGCCACTGACCACTAAAATTTTGGCTGGAAGAACTATAAGACACTTTGGGACATTTTGGGGACAATAGAAAAATAATCAACCACTCAACCACAGAATGTCAGACCTTCTTTTGTTCACCAGGCACACATCCTGGCTTTTGGCTCCGGAAAAGTCCCCTCAAATTTCCTATTTTTGTCAGACAAAAGTCATACAACACTTCCAAAAAACAGGTTGGGAAAGATCATCCTTACTTTGGGACAGTTGAAATTGATATAGGGACAGTACTGGGACAATAGTAAGAAAAGTTAATTTCGAGGCCTGTGGCTTCCCACTGGGAGACGTAGAGTGGGACGACCATATACTACACTTTTGTCAATGTCAGAGAGAGACGCTGATCTCACAGGGACTGCTCTAGTGTCCGCTATGAGGGACAGAGTATATTGAAGTAACTTTATCAAGTGGATTAAATAATTTATGCAGGCATGATTATGATAATGATGCTATCTAGGATGAATTAAAGATGAGCAACATTTTGTAATAGAATGTAAATTATACAATTAAAGAGAGACAGTTGTCCATCAATATTCCAGGTTGCCGTCAACACCGACTGTTTATTTTAGCAAGCAAGCCATAAGCCAGACCACCTGTAAAGGTATTGCTCACATCCTGGCTGAGGCAGGACACAGTTTATTCAGAAGCTGTTAACTTTTGCGCCAGGCAACCTGGCGTCTCCAATAAATTTCCCACAGAAACCATAACTTGAGTAACGAGAGGAATTTCAAACCCTGACACCACTTACAGGGATCAATGTGGTCATCACGCAGCCAGGCATTGAGAATCCTGTCTATATTGTCCATCTGTCTATTGTGACAAGTCGCTTGAGTGGTCATCACGGACAGGTTTGACCATATCCCAGCTTTAACTGATAAAGTAATTACCAACTTCAGATTCAAAGCACGTAGTCATACATGTAGGCAATGTTAAATTAAGAATAGCTTTGAATGGGACTTGCGAAAACAACATTCCCAGGTCTAACCAATTAGACCAATACTTCGGAATTTTTTTCAAAAAACACCTCGCACTTGAGTTAAAATCATTGACTGCTGTAAATGAAAATCAATTGCAATCTTCCCAGTTGGTTGGCTTTGAGGGAACTTGTGGAGACTAATTGGACACCTGTATTGAAGGGTCTGAAGTGTAGGAGGCGGAAATTGCAGCGCTGACTGGGTACTCATTAAAAACATGTCAGTGCACACGTCGAAAACACACGACAGCAACATTGGGCTGTACTGCTTTTGAGACACTCTAACAACGATTTTGCTGTGTTTTCTGGCATTTTTCATTCAAAATCATGGGAATGGTATCCTGTCAACAACAAAAAAACTTAAAACAACCGTTTTGCTGTATTTTCTGGCATTTTTCATTCAAAATCATGGCAATGGTATCCTGTCAACAACAGAAAATTTTGCACTGACAGGATCATCCTGTCAGTTCTGTGATATTGTACTTCTCTGAGATTTACACAAAGCTTTTCAGAGCATTTATAACGCTGTCAACTGGCTGGAGCTACATGTATATGAAAGAATAGCTCTATGTTGATAATTTGATATCATCAACATCACAAGTCTTAAGTCTACAGCAGATGGTACTTGATACTTGATACTTTATTAGGATATCCATTAGTCGCACAAATTTTTGTGTGACTAATCTTCCTGGATGCAAAGAACATAAGACGAAACAATACAGAGTCACAGACTTCACAATCATATAAAAATGACATGATTGAGAATCTACGCCACTAGACTTCTACACAATTTTTATCATGGTCTGGGCAAAACTCAGCGTCAGCTTTCAAGAGCACGGACTAGCTAATAGTATATAAATAGAATAAAAGTATAGGACTTTTATCAATTGAAAGTACTGTAAAGTGACTGACAAAAGCCATCAGAGTAAGCAATTAGCAATTAAGTTCGACCCTACATAGATAAATGCGGTGAGGTCCAGGAAAAATCAGTTTTTCTTGTAACTTGTTTCATCTACTAAATGGTGCGTGGGCAACATTCGCATCGTACAACGGTACTTGAATCTCACGCAAATGTCAGACATGACGCAAGGCGCAAAGACAAGTGTTCAATTCGCCTTTTGTGAGATAAGCACTCTGGTCTTGTCATGTCCATTAGTACATCTTTACCTTAATAAGGATGTACGCACGTCTTAAGTACCCACGCCAATAAGGCAAGAGATAAAAACAGCTTACATAAGCAAGATTCTAGGAAAGTCATAGTCCTGAGAGTAACCTTAACTAGACGGTCTTGATTGTGATCTACATAGAGCCAATCTACATTCGGACGACCCCCCCACAAGGCTCAAAGGTCCACTTTTTGGTCCCCTTTTTATCTAAAGGTCCAAGATTTTTCTTTAAAAGATGGACTGATTTGTATCACCAGTGAGGCTGGAATCGTAGGAAAACTGCTCACTTTGTTATTGAAAAAAGTTATCTCTGATTTTTTCTTTGAAATCCTCTAAAAATGCAGGAAATGCCATTTCAGAAGGTTCATTTTTCAAAATTCCCTAAATATAGAATTTCCTAAAAAATAGGAACCTCGCACCTTTGGCGCTCGCCTTGCGGCTATGGCGCTGGTTGGTCCCTCAAGCAGTGGGAAGAAACCCCCCCCCCATTGAAAATCCTGGCTACGGGCATGGCATTCAATCTACAGAGCTGAAGATATCTTTTCACAGAAGCCTCCTGCGCAGAGTTTATGACAGAACGTTTTGTACTGTCGTAAAATGGCATTTCATGTCTGGAGACTCTTATCAACTAAAAGCAGGCGACGTCTTGGCTATGGTTTGGTTAAGACGTCTTGGTAAGCTGCAACATGTAAGTTGGCAGGGAAATTGTCTTCATGCATAGACTGAGATGTGAGGAAACCTTCTCAGCAATAATATGTTTCGTGCACAATTTTGTACATTTGTAGTTGAACCTCTGGCTATCAAAGACACCTTCTGTTGGTCACTTTTGCTGTGTGCGACGAAGGTGAAAAGATTGAATGAGATATGTGAAACAAATAGTTTTTCTAATGTATGTCGGCTTCACTTCTTGAAACATTTGACAGTTTATACGTCATGCGAATGTATGTAAGATTGCTGTTGGAAAGTTCAAGCTTTACTGTGGAGAGGTTTGAAGCTTTCCGTTGAAAATTTCAAGCTTACTGTGGAGAAGTTTGAAGTTTTCTGTTGAAAAGCTCATTGACAAGCTTTGCCATGGAAAAGTTTGAAGTTTTCTATAATTGTAAAGTACAAGCTTTGCTATTGAAAAGATTGACGTTTTCTGTCAAAAGGTTCAGGTTCTGCTGTTAACATTTTAATTGCTGTGGAAATGTTTAACTCTAACGTCTTGAAAAATGTTGCTGTTTGCAAGTATTATGAGAACGATAGAAATGATAAGGTATGCTTAGATACAAGTATAGGGCTTGCTTCTCCAACCTCCATGTACATTACATCATCCTGTGCATTAGGTTTACAGCATGGCTTCATCAGATAGTGTCAACTAGATTATAAAATGTTAAAATCATTTTAGAATCAGCCAGAGAGACTTTGACTGCTAACAGGTAAATCTTGTGTCTTTTGTTATTGAACTTACCATTATGATAATACATTACATAATTGTATTACATTAGAGCACAATGTGGCTTTGCAGTTAAACTGTTGTGACGTTAACAAATTGTTTAAAATGTGCTAAGAAATTTCAGTAAATGTCAGATTTCCCCATTCAGAATATTTTTCTTTTATTGCCCTAAAAATTGTATGACTGGTACTGTCCAGTCGGAAATTGGGGGTTAAGTCTAAGTTTAGTCTGGTTTAATCCAAATCCCTATTAAAGTAAGGCCACACCAATTCAATTTCTTGGTTAATGGATTTTTCTAGAAAAATAATGGAGCGGGCGGGCGAAAAAATAAGAACAGGCCTAGGCATCCTATTATGGCCCAGAATGATACGATAGGAGCCATGAAGTCAACACACCAGGCTGGTTCAAAATTTAAACAATGAATTTTGAACTTTTATGATACCACTACATTGAAAGATGGAATAACTGTAACAACTTGGAAGAAAAGGACTGTTTTCAACTGTTCAGGGCACAATATGAGCATTTTGCAGTTGAATGAAGCGGGCGAATTCGTTAACCAAGAAATTAAATTGGTGTGGCCTAAGTACTTAGTTCACATTGTTTGGGGTGACAGCTAGTTTCATGGAGTTAGAAGAAAGATCAATATGATAACGGCTTTCCTAAAAAAGCTTTCAACATTGACAAACCATCAGTACATGGTTGTTAATGTAAGGATGTACTAATGGACATGACAAGACCCGAGTTACTATCTCACAAAAGGCGAGACGAAATACTTTGTTGCGCCATGCGTCATTCGTAGTATCATTGGCGACAGATTGAAGTACCGTTGCGCGCCATGCATAGCCATGTGGGATCTTACAATGGCGTCTGACACTCAGCCGGAAAGACATTTTGCAGTAATTTTAGAACTATTTAAGGCCGGACAAAACGACACTGCGTCACAGAAAATGTGCCAGACAACACGGACGCATCCTGCATGGAAATTTCTCGGTACATGTAGTTGTACTAAATGTTTGAAAAATTACAGTCAAATCTATACTAATGACCACTTCTGCATATAGACTACATGTGCACTGAAGCCAATTTTGTGTTGCCTTATAGCAATTCTCCCATTGAACAATCATCAAGAATGTTTCATGGATAATTTTATCAGGTTGTGATAGTTTGTTATTCACAACCATGCACTTGTTAAACAAGAGCTGACATTTTGATGACTGTCTGTCATTTTCTGATGATCTTCATCAGGGCAATTATGACTGGGTCTGAC